TTTATATATGCCTTCGAGTGGGTGTTTTAGGAGCCTACGGGTGATTGATACTTATATGCCTTCAAATGGGTGTTGTAAGAACATACAGGCGAATGAAGAGTTCTATATTGGTTGTAGTGCCTACGGGAAGAAGATACTTATATTGGCTTCGGCCGGGGGTTTTAGTGCCTACGGGCGGAAGATATTTAAATGGCTTCGGTCGGAAGAGTTATATATGCCTTCGGGCGGGAAATGATACCACTACTAAGCACACTATATATAATATATGATTTATGAAGTTTTTATGGCATGCTAGGGTTTTTGGAAAAACCTTTTACTTATTATACTATGAGTTTACTAAACCTAGGGGTCAGTACGTTAAAGATTAACTGTTTTAGTGTTACTTATATATCAACTTGGTCCACTCATGTTTTGTTTTGCGCCCCCCTTAGGACTTAGAATTGAGGCGTACAATCTCAGCACCAAGGCACTCCCGCATCGGCATCTTCGATTCCTCTCAGTGTAGGACCCATCTCTTTGTTCATTCAATTTTATGTTATTCCTTTTTAGTGTCTATGATTAGTTGTATGCTTTGAACACGTTCCATAATTGCATAATCATTGTATTTAACTTTATAAGTTTTGTTTATATTTATTATTTCTCATGCATCCTAATATGTCTTCGTCACCTTTGGGTGTCGGCCAGCACTTGCCTACTCTGGTGTTTTGAGAATATCAGGGTCGGGCATGTCAATGAATCTATACTTAGTTAACTGATGAGCTTGACTAGTCAATCCATTGTACTTTAATTTGCTTTATCATTGTTGTTTGCATAATGGACTGATATATAAATGTGTTCAAGCTTAGGAATTATTGTTGTGAAACTAATCTGGGCAGACTTTGATTAGTTGAACGTATTGGTCAGTTAGGTTTTGTTCTTGCAAATGCACATTATATCACTGACTAACTTGTAACTAGCTCATTTGACTAGTCTCCTGTGCAAAGTTAATTTTTATTTGCAGGATATTCCGTCTAGTACCCAATTTCAAATCCGCTTTAATAATTGTTCACACTATCACTTGACACTAGCAAACTTAACGATGTTTAATTTTTATTGAAAATGTATGTAAATAATGTTATTAAATGTTAAAAGTATCTACGTATATGCATAATACACGTATCATATGATGGATTTAAAAAATACCAAATATAACAAGATAATTGTTATTGATACTCTAAAAATCTAATTGTGCACTCTAAAATTTCTATATTTGGAAAAAAAAAAAGTAATTATGTTATGAAGAATATGGAAATAGATATTTGAAGTGTCAATAATAGTTCTCATATAACAAATCACTACGACATGCACGAAAAATTAAAGTATTTAAAAAAGTATGTATGTACGTTTATATAATAGGCATAATATACGCAAATTTAGTAGCTATGACCAAAATATATCTAAGAATTAAGTCTGGATAACTACCCAACATTTAAGAGTGATTCCAAATTAGTCCTAACCTTTTAGAACATTCCAAATAACTACCCAACGTTTAAAAATTAAACATCTGTTCGGTTTACTAGCGTTAAGTGATAATGTGGACAATTATTAAAGCGGGTTTTTATTCTCAAGTCACCTATGGAGTTTTGAATCTCGAAGATGTAGTTTAGCTAAGCAAATTTACGGCTTAACTTGGCTAAAAGAAGTTGATTTGGGGAATTAAAGCTCCAAAGAAGACGATTAGTAGAGACCAATTTAGTATTTTCCACCTCCTCCTTTAATGCTAGAAACTTCATTTCACTTAATGTTGGTAAAGTCATCAGTTAACGTGGTGACCTAACAGATGTCTTAATTTTAAAACATTAGGCAATTTGGAATGTTTAAAAGGGTTAAGACTAATTTGGAACTACCTCAAAAGATTGGGTAACTAGATGAAGTCCACAACTATGTGTGTTGTTGAAACCAAATTTGCGCACCACCGTGAATGGTAGAGATGCTTGAATCTGTTTACCTGTAAAAGAACACACAACCATGAGTAAGCCTAGGACCCAGAGAGTGGTGGTAGTGGTGGTGGTGATGGGGGTATACCGTTCAAATGCTCTCAAACGATCAAGTTAGTAAGCAATATTAAGACTCAAGCAGTACGCAAAAGAATAAATGTGCAAAGATTGTGCTACTAGAGATAAACTCTAAAAGAAAGTTTTTATACCAGTTGTGGAGATGACCTTTTAGGATAGTAGAATCAACCTTAAACCGGGCGAATTCATGAGGATATCTAGGAAGTAGATATTGTATCCTCTTAGAAGTATGATTGTTTGCGGCACATACCAATCCTTATACTGTAAGGACTCTAAGGTTATAGGAAACCTAATGATTCCTTGCTGGATTAGGTTCCCGAATCTTACGGAACAAGAACGGTCTATCTTAGTAAAGTGGACGAACTTCACCCACTGATTTTGGAACAGGATGATGGTGCATCACTATCTGTTTAGTTAGCTATGCTATGGAAGTTGTTGAGTCCATGGCCAAACTTCAGAGGTAGGCATATTCTGAGCCTTACTCCGGCCTTAGGAAATCATGGTCCCACAATTGCCCTAACGAGGCATCGGAAAGAACTTTTCCCCTTGAGGATGGATAGTTACCCAAAAATTGTATTTTTCAGAGTAAGTCGAAATACGTACCATTTTCCTCCTTTCATACTTGTGGTTCCTTTCTTCATTTCTCCCTGATCCTTTGGATATCAAAATGTTTCGTATCTAGGTGCACTACCTTATAAATCGTACCTTTAATATCGCAATGATGAGAATTGTCGCAGTTGCATGTGTGCAGAAAAGAAGGCTTCGTCCATTGTTTTCTCTAGCCGCACCCAACCGTCGGATCCGCTGTCAACGATCCATAAGTCAGAGTTTTATACCACTGGTTCTGACTATATTTCAAATCAAGCTATAATTGTCAATTGGGATAGCTAGCTTGTCCTCATCTCTTGGGTGGAAACGTAAAAAGAAAAAGGAAATGTAATTCTCATATTCAAACCCACTCAATCAAAAGTTCTAATTGGTTTCGAGTTCATTAGTTGTATTTTAACATGATATCAAAACAGATACTTCACGTGTTTAAGTTGAAGTGTTTAATATGTGCGTTAAAGGTCCATATCGAGAAATCAAAGCTTTTACATGAAAATTTAAAATTTAAACGATGTTGAGTTTATATACTCACTACCAATTGGTTTTTAAAATAAAACTCTACCCAAAATAAAGCATGCCAGTGTGAAAAAAGGGAACCTTTTCTCATCAAAGCTGCATTTGTTTATAGAAAAGTTTTGATAAAAACTGGTGATTGAAAAAGCAAAGACTTGAAGCTTTAACACAGCCAATGATGGAGAGAGTCGAGCAGTCCCAACACATTAATGTAGTAGACTTTTGTAGTTGGTCAAATGGCTGCAAACATAGTGATTACTGACTTCCTTTTGAAAGGAAGGCCATCATCCACCAATCCCTTTGGGGTGATCATGCAACATCAATGGAACATCTACATTCGAGTGTCTACTAAGAAAATTTTCGTAACCACCTCAGTTATAAACTCATTACCATAATTTCAAAGAACCCGTTGCCCGAAATATATTGGACACTTGAACTTATAACAAATTCGTTATCTGTATAAGTTGAATATGAAATCTCTCTCACAAATAGAGAGAAGTAACGTCATTAGGCCGTACGACTAGTGATTATATGAGCAATAAGTTATGGTAAACATAAATTGAACTGATGAATTTGTTGAACAAGAAACTTGGAATATGAATGCACATAAAATAGAACGATGATATGCTATGTGCATCAGTGCATCGTATGGTTCATAAAAAAAGAAATGAAAAGTATCAGATATAATATAGAAAACAGGTAGGTGTTCCATTGACTTACATTGCATGATCACCCTCACCCCAAAGGCCAAAGGGTTTGGTGGGTGATGGCCTTCCTTTCAAAGGGAAGTCAGCAATCACTTTGTCAGCCATTTGACTAACTACAAAAAGTCTACGATATTCTGATGTGTTAGGACTGCTGGTCTCTGTCCATTGTTGCTTGTGTTGAAGCTTCAAGTCTTGCTTTTTCAATTACCAGGTTTTTTTTTTTTAACTTTTATATTAAAATATGCAGAAAATGCAGGTTTGATGAGAAAAGGGTTCCCTTAAACATAATTGAGGTTGCATGATCACCCCAAAGGGTTTGGTGGGTGATGGCCTTCCTCTCAAAAGGAAGTCAGCAATCACTATGATTGTCAGCCATTTGACTTGCCTACAAAAAAGTCTACAATATTCTAATGCGTTAGTTGGTACTGCTTGACGATCTGTCCATTGTCGCTCGTGTAGAAGCTTCAACTCTTGCATTTTCAGTTACGAGATTCTTTTGTTTTTTTTTTTTCAAAACTTTTGTATAAACAAATGCAGCTTTGATGAGAAAAGGGTTGCTTTGTTTCGGGTCTTGTTACTTTAGAAAACTACATTATTCATACAAAAGAAAGATATTATTCAACTGAAATTTTCAATTCAATTTAAAAGCCAATTGGTAGCGAGTATAGAAACTAAACATTGTTTAAATTTTTATGCAAAAGGTTTGATTTCTCGATATGAACCTTCGACCTTCAATTACCCGCATATTAGGCGCTTCAACTCAAATACATAAATTGTTTGTTTTGATACCATGTTAAAGCTCAACTAATAAACCACAGATTCGTCCTGACCCAAACAAATTGGACAACACGGAGATGGAGAGCAGCGGCGTTTGAACAAATTCTCCATCGTCGCCAACGCCCGATTCAAAGCCCGCCACATAAAGTTCCAGATCTTCGGCGGAGTCTTCAACTGCCACAAACTCCTCCAAACCTTATTTGGGATTACAGATGAAGAGGAGGAAGCTCTGCCAATCAAGGGTCCCGAGCTTGCATGCATCCAATGGTATCCAGATCTCACAGAGTACACCCCGTTTCTGGTAGCCGGCCAGATTAACCTATCCTCCTGAAGCCGATCTCCAATGGGAGTATCCAGCCTTCTTTGCCCATGGGTTGAGCCAATTTGGTTTGGTGGCCCGTTGAGTTACCGGGTGAATAGGGCAAGCATTTCGACTCTCCCTGCTTGGGTGTTATCTTTCTTCGGGTCTAACCTGGGTTCAAAGGATGAGATTGCAAGAATTCTGATGTATTTGGCGGTCACTTGCTGGCATATATGGAAATCTCGATGTAGCTATATCTTTGATCACTTGAGTCTTGATCCTAATCGGGTTATCATGGCTACCTTGACTTCGGTGCAGGGGTTTTTGGAGGCTACTGAGGCTTCTGTGGGTCGCCCTCAGCGTGCATGCTCCCACCCGCGTCCTCCTGCATGCTGGGGTCCTCCGTGTAGTCCATTTTTGAAGGTGAATGTGGATGCGAGCTGGGAGGCTCAATCAAAAGGTGGGTATGCTGGAGTGGTCATCAGGGATCACGAGGGGAAGTTTGTGGCAGCTAAACGGGGTCGGGTTGGGGCAACTAGTGTGGCTGCTGCTGAGGCAGCGGCGATCCTGTTGGGTTGTGAATTGGCTGTTGAGCTTGAGCTGGATTGCATTATTGTGGAGTCCGATTCAAGGGAGAATATCCACTGCTTGACTCAGGATAATTCACGGGGCAGCTGGGAGGCTTTCCCCGATATTTCAAAGGCCTTGCGGATTGGGGGAAACTTTCAGGACTGTCGCTGGTCTTGGACTCCGAGATCGGCCAATTTGGCGGCGCATGCGTTGGCGTCGAGAAGTAATCCGGAGATGTGCGATGTAATTTGGGTAATTATTCCCCCATCTTCGTTGGTTCATGTTTTGAATAAGGATGGGTTACCTTGTCCCCATTAATTTTTGGATGGGTCAGATTTGTTGTTCCTCCTCCCTTGCTCGGGGCTATGGTTGCCTCTCTGTCTTGCTCTCGTTGAGCTTTTGTTGTGCTGTGGCTTCGGCCTTGCTGTGGTGTACGTTTCAATATACTTTTTCCTTCCAAAAAAAAAAAAAGCTCAACTAATAAACTTGAAAGCATTATTTATGAATAAAAAACCCGAAATTATTTAAATTGTTGTTGTATTTGAACCACAATTGTTAACAGTTCTGCGTGTTTGGTCAACAGAAAAAAAATAAAAAAAAACTCTTGATTGAGTGGGTTTGATTATAAGAATTGCGTTTTCTTTTCTTTTCTTTTTTTCCACCCAAGACACGAGGACAAGCTATAACTTGTTTTCAATCCTGTCAAAACCTATGAAATTATGACTAATGCAAGAGGAGAGTTTAAATCCTCTCCCCCCAAAATTTTATGTGGCATTTTTGTCACCTAACTCGAGAAATTTTTCATTATGACTGAAATACAGATAGTACATTATGTATTTTTATATAAATGGTGGAAATTTGTATTTTTTAAGTTTATTAATTTTTTAACACACATGTCATACCATTTATATAGTGACACTCCATGTTCTTGTCACATTGAAAAATTTCTTCTATCTCTAAGTTTGACGCATGTTCACAATTAGATCTACTTTTAAACACTATTAATTTGTTGAAAAAAAATATAAAAATGAAACGTTAAACCTAGAAGCCCAACCGTTCCCACCCACTCCCACTCAAAGCAATTCCACCCCTAAAAAAATGCGCCAACACCCAGCCCATTTAATCCACTCAGTGAATAATGATAGACCCCAATGAACAGTAATAAATAAAATGCATCTCCACCCTTAAAACTAAATAGCCTAGTCAATTTTATTAAATTTTTATTAATTTTTATTATAAAATAATAATTTGATTTTTAATTTCTGATCCTTTTTCTTCTTCTTCCCACTTTTCTCAAAAAGGGTCTCTCTGGACTCCCTTTTTCTTTTTCTTCCCTGATTTTCCAACTGTGCGGTCAAGCACAGTTTCACCACTTTTTCTTCCCTTCTTCTTTTTCTTCTCTTCAAACCGCCAAAACCTATGTGAGATTAGCCAAGTTTGGCCCTACCTCGCGAGCCGCAACCACCAAACGAACCCGAAGACCCATAATCCCACCCAACCCTCATCCCCGATCCCTTCACTTGCTGGTGCACCAACCAAAACTGCAACCCTTTCGCCATCGATCCTCTCGATCCCCAGAGCTTCTCCGATTACGACTAGTTCTCTGACGTCGCCTCCGATTCGGACCATGACGTCAGCTGCTTCATCACTGATATATTCAATCGCCGCAGCTCCGAGTAGCAGCCTAAAACCGAGAGGGAAGGTTTTGGATATGGAAGCTCGAGTTGGGGTGGTGGTGGAAAGCAAAGAGCTTCGAATTCAGCTCAGGGAGGCGTGGCGGTATTGCCTGGCGTCATGTAAGCCGGGCAAGGGCTCAGTACATTCTGAGCCGGCCTAGAGACCAGCTTAGGCTGGGTGCCAGCCTATCTGCTTGGCTGGGTGCCGAGCCAATAATTTGGGTGCTGGCCTAAAGGTTACCTGATGGAACTGCTCTCAGTGTCGACCACCGCCATAGCATCCCACAAAGCTTCCTTTCCTTCTCCTCATTAAGAATCTCGTTGTCTCTTTCCAGATCCCCAATACTACCATAACCACTTTACAGTGGCCCGCCATATCCAGGTCCAGATCCTTAACCCCCAACACTTCACCAACGAGCTCGACAAAGGCAACGATGGTCCTCTACTTTCAACACCCAGCGCACCACGATGGCGATGGTCTGGGTTCTTCACATTACATATTTGTATTTTGTTTTCTTTTATTGAAAATAAAACTTTAGCCCATAAAATTTAATTTTCTCCACATAAAACCCGACATAAGTTTTTTACTCAAATAAAACCTATTTATTAGATTCCACATCAGCAAATTCATTAATTATGTTTGACTTAACACATTTAAAATTTTCTGGATGCCTAATATACCCTACTTGAATGTTTGATGTACACAATTAATGTTATGCGAATTATAAGAGAGAATTAATAATTTTACTATAAAAACATTTGTTATAAATTCATTGCCTAATATATAATAACAATTAAACATGTCTAATATATTGACATGCTTAATTAAGTCACTAAAATTATATTTTACATATTAATGCAAGTAAATTATTTCACACACATATATAAAAAAAATGACTAATATATGTAAAATTTCATGCAAAATAATTTACCTTAAAAAAATGTTATTTGATTCAAATAGTGCACCTACTATTAAATTTTAAAATGTTAGATTGCTAAAATAATTTACCTACATAATAAACAAACCCAATATATGCAAAATACATGCAAAATAATTTACCTACATAATAAAGCAATATTATTTTATTTAATACTAATTTACCTACAAAATTTATTATTTGTTGATCATAAATTTACAAATAGGTAAATTAATTACATATAATAATTTTTTTAACATATATGTTAGTACTGCACATATATATATTTGAACGTATAGTAATGCTATATACATATAGGTAAATTATATGTATATTGAACTTTTAGTAGTACAATATACTTTTGAATGTATTTATGTATATATGTGTGTGTGTGTGCGCGCGCGCGCGTGTGTGTATTTATATATGTTAGGGGTAATAGTATGTCCAATAATTATTTGTTCATTATAATTAAGGTAAGTAATAATATTTATTGATTTGAATATTGTGGCACAAGTTGTAAATATTTTGTAATAATAGGTCAATTACTTTTCTATTTGGCAGGCTTTTTCAAATTTAGATTTTATTTGGATGTGTGGAATTATGTGGGTTTTTATCTAGGAAATAAAAGTTGCAAGGGTCTATATCTAAAAAAAAACCCTGCCAAAGACGAATTTGAACCACATTATTGCTAACTCATTGTGAAACTAAGCACACCTCCTTTCCCTTAGTGTAACTAATATCATTTGTTAAAAAATAAAAAAAAATTAAAAAGTGAGTTAAGAGCGTTTAAGTGTAGAGTTAGCAATTAACAGGTGTCAAACCCTGACACACACCACAGAAAAGTCACAAAGAGCTTTGAGTGGAAAAGATTTGAATTCTCATTAGCATTAAGATTAGAGGATAAGGATCCTCTCCGGATTTTCTTTGTGGGGATCATAGGGATCCTCACATTTTATCCGTTCACCGTACATCAAGCGATCAGCTTTCATTAGGTACTAATTGTGTTAATTTTAAATAACAAATTAACCTCACGATGTACGATAAACGGTTAGGAAGTAAGAATCGTTAAGATTCTCACAATTTGAATTCGGATAGAATCCAAATTAATCCGTCTAGAATTAGGATTAGGGGTGGTCAATATTAATTGTTTTCTAAGTTAGAAATTCCTTTTGTAAAAAGAAATTGCACACATCACACATGTGAGCGTATTATATGTGACAATTCAATACATAACTCATGGCACACGCAGCAACCAAACAGAAAATACATCTCACCATCTCCCATTCCCACTAAGTCACTAATCCAATCATTTTTCTTTTTATCTTACACAGGCATTTGTTTGACCAAACCATGTATACATAACATCTTAGGAAGGCTGCAAACAAAAAGAAAAAATCGAATATTTATCCAAAAAGAGTATGAAACGTTCCAAAATATTCCGGTATTTTATATTTATTTACAAAAATCATATTTTGCAATCAAGTTTTGTATTTTATTGTTAATTTTGAATGCACTTTGTTCATTGTTTTATGTTAATCATACACTTATACATTAAAAATGAAAAGCATATATGGCAAAATAAACTAAACTTATATATAAGCATATACGGTATACCAAATATTGAGAAATAACAATAAATTTGTAAGTACGAAGAAGTTCGAGAATATTAAAAAACTTGTAAAGGAAATGAATTTCTAAATCATGTTTCAAAATTTCTGAGATTACTCCGAATTCGAATATTCTAAAACTTTCGAATTTGAAAATTGTGATCCGATCTGACTTAGTTCTACAGTTTGAAAAACAAAAAACAAATTGAAAACGTTGTGTTTCCAATTCGTCCGTTTGACAATCATCCCCAACTGATTGAACTCGATCAAACTACCAAATAATGCAGTCAATTAACTTTCTAGAGAGGCCGAAATGCCTCTGTGAGTCTTCCTAACCCCCAGAAGGGTAGACTGCTGTGATGAAGCCACCAGTTGGTCCCCTTTTAAAAATAAAAAATAAAATTACCTTTCTAGGCTTGGAGCTCAACTCATCTATGCGAACTCTCTATTTTTAAAATTCAAATGTAAGATCTCTCACTTACAAATGAAGAGGAATATTATTAGACTGTAATACTAAATGATTGTTATAGTGCATTACATACTCTAATATTCATTTACCATAAATGTATCGTGTTTGCGTCGTATGAAATAATCCTAAACCTAAACCCAATTTGTTAACCAGCAATACCTATAATTTATCGTGCAAAATCTTATCATTTTATTGCGTTGTATATTACTATCACTGTATCACATCAACTTTTGACGTAGATGCATTCAATCTACGAAAATCGAAATTCACTTTGAAATTTGAAAATTAATTTGTTACATGAAATAATTTACCAAACAAAGATTTAGTAAAAAGTGACTACAAATACAACCAAAGGGTAAATAATGTATGAGAACCAATACATTCTAAAATACACCTTGTATACAGTCAGAGGGAATAAACAATGATAATACATATCTCATGCAACTAAAGCCAATAACACAACGATGGAACAACAACAATAGTGAGACTGGCTTTCTCGAAAATCAACCGGCCTTCAGAGCAAAACTTTCTGGGATATAGCTTCCGTATCTGTTCCGTAAAATAAGGTAAAAGCTAACGTTCATTTTTATCTCTCCTCAGTAAGGATTCCACAGTAACTTTCGAGTCATTGCAGGAGGGGCTAATCCAG